GTAATGTTCAGTAGCCTTCTTAAGCGTCTGTTGTAAACTACACATGTATAATTGTGTTGAATCCAACAGTAATCTCAGGTTAGCTAAAGATTACTTTAGAACAATTCGTAATTCTGTCATGAATGATTAAATTTTTCATATAAATGAAAAATCAATAGTAATCTGTATGTTATGTATTGTCATTATTATCATAATTAATCTCACTTTGTTGACATCTATACTCTGTAAAAAAAAAAGTTGGCCGACTGAACCTTTTAGGGTTCTAGATTTTGGTTCCATTTTAAGAACCTGTTTTAGTTCTGGTCGAAGACGCTGAACTGTTTAAAGTTCTAGATCTACTGGCCAGAACTTTTTTAAGTTCTAAATTTTTTGGCTAGAACTATAAAAAAGGTTCTTAAAATGGTACTCAAATCTAGAACTTTAAAAGGTTCAAGGCTTGTCTAAAACCTTAAAAGGTTCATTATGACACCATGTTTTCTCTTCTTTTGGTGCTGATGGTGGAAATCTAGATTTCATATGAGTGTACTGAATTATAAAGATCCATACATGAATTACTTTATTACAGATTCAACTGTCCAAAATATGCCGAAAAAACATGTTTTTGTGTTATAATTAGGTAATAAGCAGAACTATGAGATAAGAATAGAGCATATGTTGATCAAAAATTACTATTTCCTTTATTTAAATGAAATGGGATGCTAATTAAAGAAAAAAAAAGGATGATTTTAAGATAACATGGTCTTACTCTGACATCATATTCGCTCTGTTAAAGCACATCTATTTCATCTTCTATCTTTCTCTCAATTAGAATCTAGAAAATAACTACTAAAGTCATTCTTTGCTCTTAATTATGCTGTTGCTTGAATATCTTTTTCCTTAATACGACAAAATTATGAAAAAGACATAGAGCAATCAAAAATATACCTGTTGACTCTATCACTTTTGTAATCGTGCACCATCATTTTCGTAAAATCTAAAAATTTGATTCAGAAACTCAATGCTTGTATGAAAGTTTCATTTTCGTACTTAATTTTTTTATTAGAAATCTATGACATCACAAAGCTGGAAAGGACATATTCTAGGGCTCTGTCTACACTTGAAAAGGTAAGATCAGTGCTTTAACAACAAAAGACTATGGCATGTAAAAGAACAATGGTAAAGTTGGTCGTTTTTGGCTGTGGAAACTGGGCAGACAATAAGTCAGATGGAGAGGTGGGGATCATTTTGAGATTGGACCATTTCGCACAGTATTTCTTTCATCTGGAAAAATTCATAACAGCCAATATAATGAATAGAAGTTACATTTAATTGAAGGTCCATTGATTCTTGGAAATAAGGTAGCAAAAGTTGGCAAACATAAACTTAATTTTTCTGAGATTTACGCACAGATGCAAGACCTACTGTAATAATATATCATAAGCAATTTTTTACAACAGATTTAAGACTTTTGGGCATTTCCATAAAAAAGGCAAGAATTTTTTTCTTTTTTTTAAGAGACCTTAAAATATCCGTCCATGATTAAAAGATATTTAGAGTTAAATAATATTCATTCTATTCAGAATATATCAATTTAAATGTTTTCATCTAGGATGGTCTAATACTGGTAGCATGAATTATGCGCGAGTGTCACATAGAGCTTCACTATTAACAAATGGACGAGTGTTGATTACTGGTGGATACAATGATGGCTTTCTAAATAGTGCTGAGTTATATGATCCATCAACAGAAATTTGGACATTAACTGCTGCCATGCATAATACACGACAGGGTCACACATCATCTGTATTAACCAATGGAAATGTGTTAGTAACTGGTGGTTCTTATTTGAATACTGCTGAATTATATGAGCCATCAAAAGAAAGTTGGACGATTACTACTACCATGAATTATGCACGACAGTGGCATACAGCATCCGTTTTATCAAATGAAAAAGTGTTAGTTGCTGGTGGAAGAATTGGTAATGTTCATCTCAATAGTACTGAATTGTATGATCCATCAACAGGAACGTGGACATTAACTTCCGCTATGAATCATGCACGACAGGGTCACGTCTCAGCACTGACAAATGGAAAAGTATTAGTTGTTGGTGGCCACGATGGCAATACTTATTTAAATAGTGCTGAATTATATGATCCATCAACGGAAACTTGGACATTAACTTCAAACATGAATTATGCACGACACGGTCACACAATATCTGTATTTAGAGATGGAAAAGTGTTAGTTACTGGTGGAGAAAATGGTGCTTATCTGAATAGTGCTGAAGTATATGATCCATCAACAGGAATGTGGACATTAACCACTGCCATGAATCATGCACGATATGATCATGTAGCGTCCTTAGTATCAAATGAAAAAGTATTAGTTGTTGGTGGATGGAATGGTGTTGCTCTTAGTAGTGCTGAATTTTATGATCTATCAACAGGGACCTGGACAACTATCTATAGTATGAATTTTGGACGACAGGGTCCCAGATCATCGGTGTTAACAAATGGAAAAGTATTGGTTACTGGGGGATGGAGTGGTAGTACTAATTTAAATAGTGCTGAGTTGTATGAATCAAAAACAGAAACTTGGACAACTACTGATAGCATTAAGGGATAGGCGTGGAGGTGTGTGGGTGTGAGTGTGGTTCTTCTATTCGCACTAAGGCCAACACCCGTACTCACAGTCACAAACATACTCGTCTTGAATTGAAAGAAAAAAAATCTTTGTTTTCAAATGAAGACTCTCACTGATAGAAGTGCATTCTGTTCATGTAATATCTTTAATGGATTCTCTGGAAATTCATTGATTTTTTCACGTAAGGCGTATTTCGTCGATGGTATTTTTTTCGGGTCAAATCATATATATGTAATATATTCTAGAAAGTAAACGTGAAATAGGAAACATCTTAAGACAATGTGGCCGGTTGAGTCTGTATTTCATTTTTAAAAAATCAGCAGACAAAATCTTTCCTCTTGGAACTGCGTAACATCTCCATCTTTACTACTGCAATATGTTAACATACTGTAAAAGAATAAAAAAAGCAACAAATAATAATCAACATCTTGATCCTAGAATATTTGCAGTCTTTTGGTGCTTCTCAATACTTTCATCTTACTGATTACAAAGCCGAGTAGAGCAAATATATGTAGATTGTATTTCAATGAGCAGTGCGCTTGATTATTTCATTGTAAATATTAATCATATTCCAACCAACGAAAAAAAGAAACATTAATATCATTCTCTTGCTTCTATTCAGTGTCATATAGAAATTAGTAGAGTATGGAGACTTGTAAATGTATTGATGATCTACAATCAATCGAATATCAAGAGAAAGCGAAAAGAAATACGAAAAATTCGGATCCATTTTGAGTCGAAACAAAATGCAGACTGTCTATGGGTGTTGTGAGAAAAATCTTTTTCTTTATACCAGATATTGGATCGTTACTATTGGTGAATGATTGTAGACTAAAGATGAGTTCTAGATTTTCTTATTTTTTCTTTTCAGATTTTATAGTTATTAGCTATGGGACTTATTTTCATAGTCAGAGACTTAATTGGTATTTGTTGAATACATTTGTCATATTTGTACTACTCCAAAAACAAGAGACATATTTGAAACGATATACGAACAAACATACATTTCAAAAGAATATAAAACAAAAGAAAACCTTCTATCTCATAAGTTCTTCTATTTCTGATTTTTTCTTTTACCATCTTTTTTAATTTAACATCTCACGTGAAAGAGTGTGGGGTGGTGGTGTGAATGTGGCTGTGGGTGATCGGGTGACGAATATTTACAGCCACTCACACCCTCATCCACACCCAGACCCAGATCCACATCAACACCCACAGTCACATACGGTACCCACACGCACATTCACACCCATATCACAGTCACATTCACTCACACACTCACATCACACCTGCACCCACAAGCTCACTCACACCCTACATATACCTATACTCAGACCTAGATCTACATCCATACCCACATCCAGCTTCCTCTGTTTTATGAATTAATTGATATATTATAAATCATTTGAGATATGAGATCTAGAAGTTCGTAAGATGTGCAACAGAAATGTTGCAAGCATACAACAGATTTATGCATCTAGTCATATTGGAAATTTGTTTCACTTCGATAAAGTAGACATAGACAGTGGTATAGACTTTATTTTTATTATAGTGTATAATGCAAGCTAGTGAATTTCTCATTAGGAACTCGATTTGTTCTAGATACTGTCACACCGTTTCATCAAGCCTCTCTTCTTTTCCTTATCTATGTCTCTTGTGTAGCTGCTTGTAAAAGCATAAGTAATAACTGTTTGACACCATTTGGATCAATAATAATCTGAGTTTCTGAAGAAGCTTTGGGAAATTTCTCTCTGAGAGCTGCACTAGCTTTTGGATTGAAAGAATCGAACCAACCTTGAAAAATACGATTTTGTACTTCTATAGATTGCTCTTCATAATTTTGATGATGAACTCGGATGTGTTTGTCGAAAACACGCTTGCGGGTTACGAATGTAGTCTCTAATTCTAAGGCTGAAGGTCGTTGATTCTGATCATCATGAGCACAATAGTGGGTATGAATTCGGGTGTTAGGGTCTATTCTTCATTTAACTAACACCCACACCCCACATTGTATCGAAGGATTAAAAGATGAGTCTTCAATAAAAAGTAACTCTATTATTATCTTGATATTCCATATCGCATGAGAAAAAAAAATGAATGAAACAAATATATTATTATTGTCTTTGTTTGCAAGCTTTGTTTCAGAAAGATCGCTAGATCTTTCATTTCAAAATGCTATCTCTATGTAGAACAAGATTACTAGTATTTTGATAACTGAATGAGCAAAACAGGACGACTTTCAATCAAGCAATTTTTTCCGAAAGTAGTTTTCAAAAAGAATGAAAAATTACCGTCATTGTGTACTGAGTTATTTTCATGATTTTGGATACGTTGTTAGTGTATGTTTGCAGAACTAAAAATTCTTTATTAATTTTCTTAGTAAGTTTTTTTGTAATATCTCAACATTATTGTATACATTAAGAGAGGGTCCGCGAGAAGACCACCCTACTTTCCACATAGGTCGCCGGAAAAAAAAATTTTTTTTTCGATTTTATTTTCTTGAATGATAGGTCTAGGTAAACTATAGTTAAATCCAAAATATTAGCGCATTTGGTTTTACCTATGAAAAATGCGAGCTAAAACAAGTTTAAGGGGATCTATTTTGACCCTAAAAAGTCGCTAAAAATGGCTGTGCTCAGTATTTTGACATTTTCTCATGAATGGTTTGACCGTTTGCGATCGGGCACATCTCATTAGATAGGGAATAGTATAGGCTACAAATTTATTCAACTTTGATGATTCATATCTGAGATAAAAGAAATCCTATAGATCAAAAATCTTCCAAATCTCAAGAAATTCGACACTCTGTGATAGTAGTATTTTGGGCTTTTCTTGAGTGGTGAAAGCGGTCCCAAATTTCTTTTTTTTACCAGACATAGATCTTGTGAAGATACATCTTTTGAGATTAAATTGTCAAGACGAAAAAACTTGGGGGTCAAGTTAGCATGGACCACACTGTCCCCTACCCTACCTAGCCACCATTGATCCTACCCCACAAAGACATACAATTTCTACAGAAACCACGAAAATGGACTTCAGATTCGTGTTCAGCTTGAAAAACTGACTTAGATGGGATATTTTAGATTGATCCCTTACTTGTACCAAGCGTGTTCAAGACCATGGGTCCACTTCATGGATATATGATGCACATATGCAACGGCGTTTTGATAACAATTCACCAATATTAATAGCTATCGAGTTCTAGTTCTTACCATTCGATAGCCCTTTTTGAAAGTTAAAAAAATATATATTTTCCAAACTCAAAAACTACTGACGAGTTGAGACGTGCCGAGTCACATTGCTCTCGGAGCACATTTCGATGCATTTTTCGCCCCCTACTTAGCCACTTTTTCGTTACAAAACAAAAGTTTAAGTGAAAATTAATATCATATTCGGAATCAGCGTTAAAAACTGAGTCGATCAATGTATGTTTGAAATATTTCTGAGACAAAATTTTGCCCTATGAAAAAATAACTCTGTACTCCCCCTCAGGGTTCATAAAAAAATGATTTTTCTCAAAAGTGTCATTTATTGTGTGGAATGAAATGGCCGAGCTTCTCTAATTTCAAAAAAAGTGAAATCACAAAAGACTAAACGGCAAAAGCGCCATTTTGAGGGAAATCGTTTTTTCATGAACCCTGAGGGGGAGTACAGGATCATTTTTTCATAGGAAAAATTTTTTTCTCAAAAATCTTTAAAACGTACATGGATCGACTCAGGTTTTAACGCTGACTCCGAATATGACATTGGTTTTGATTCAAAATGTTGTTTTGTAACGCAAAAGTGGCTAAGTAGGGGGCGAAAAATGCAGAAAATCGTGTTCCAAGATCAATGTACCTAGGTATGGCTCAGGTGATTAAGAGTTATAAGCTTGTAAAATATATAGTTTTGTAGCTTTTGAAAAGGGCTATCGAATGGTAAAAACCAGAACTCGGTAACTATTAATACTGGTAAATTATTATCAAAACACTGTGTAATATACCTATTATACATGTATGAAGTAGACCCATGATCTTCAGCACGCTTGGTACCAATAAGGAATCAATCTAAAATAACCTATCTAACCCAGTTTTTCAAGCTGAACACGAATCTGAAGTCCATTTTCGTGATTTCTGTAGAAATTGTATATCTTTGTGAGGTAGGATCAATGGTGACTAGGTAGGGTAGGGGACAGTGTAGTCCATGCTAACCTGGCCCTCGAGGTTTTTCGTCTTGACAATTTAATGTCAAAAGATGTATCTTAACAAGATCTATGTCTGGTAAAAAAAAGAAATTTGGAACCGCTTGTACCACTCAAGAAAAGCCCAAAATACTGCTATCACAGAGTGTCGAGGGTGTGGGTGTGGGTGCGGGATGTGGGTGTGAGTGATGATGACCATTAATTGAACCAACACCCACACCCTAACACTTAATTATAAGCGACATATCTTCTTTCTATCACAAAACGCAAAAAAACGAATAACAAATACTTCTTTCTAGTAGAGTAAGCGAAAAAATAATTCTTATAACAGTCATTTCAGTTCTCATTTGTACACGCTTAATACTTTGATGATTAATATAGTGCAACGGCATGTTTTCATATTCATAATGCTTCTAGAAAAATAAATCATAAAGAATTTTTCCAACTAGGAAAAAAATAATATTTAAAAGTATATATTAATCATTAACCCCACAAGCACACAACATCTCTTCATTGATCGTTTAAGAAAGCTCAGATCGAATTATAAAAAATTCTTATTTGAATCTTCCATATGATGTGAAACATTTGCAGATACCAGTAGATGATTTGGATCAAATACAAGTGACTCTCAAACGATGTCATCACCTGTCAACAATTAAATTTGATATCGAAAATACAGAATTCTGTAAGACAGTCTTCGACTGGTTTGCTGACAAAACCATTAGTGGAACATGTAGGGAGAGTTATCAAACAGTTGCTGTTTGGCTGGGAAAAAAGAAATTTCAATCGACTTAAATATGTC